TCCTTCCTTCCTTTCTTTCTTCTTTCTTTTCTTTTTCTTTCTTCCTTTCTTTCTTCCTTCCTTCCTTTCTTTCTTCCTTCCTTCCTTTCTTTCTTTCTTTCTTTCTTTTTCTTTTCTTTTTAGAGAGAGAGAGCAGGGGGCTGGGTAGGAAGGGACAGAGAGAGAGGGAGATAAAGAATGTGAAGCAGGGTCCATGCCGAGCATGGAGCCTGACGTCAGATTCAGTCTCACAATCCTGAGATTGTGACCTGAGCTGAAATCATGAGTCGGACGCTTAACCAACTCAGCCACCCAGGTGCCACTTTTTTTGTTGTTGCTTTGTTTTTTTGTTTTTTGCTTTTTTTTTTTTATAACACTACTATGGAGTTAGTTATTGTGAAGTACCAGAGCTTCTATAGAGAAAGGAGTGACACAAATTCAAGATCTTAGTTTGATCACAAATGTTATTTTTCAGGAGAGGAGGAAGAAGGGGATTCCAAATAAACTTTCTGATCGTTCCATTAAATTTGTCTTTTGTGTGTTCATGTTGTTTTCGTTTGTTTGCTTTTTTGGGGTAATAGAATTTTGTCTTCATAATGGCTATGAAGTAAAAACAGTAATTAAATATTATGCATAGTCCTGTCTCCATAATTAGAAATAATGCACTTTTTATAAAAAAAAAAATATTGCTTTCAGGAGAGGGGTGTGTTTTTTAAGACTTTCTCCATAAAAATGTGCTATTAATTTATTTTATATTCTTCACTGTATACAATAGATATAGTTTACATTTTATTTGTATGGGTTAGGGTTGCCAGATAATACAGGATGCTCAGTTAAATTTGAATTTCGGATACACAGCGGAGTAGTAGCTGAACTTCAAATTTAACTGGCATCCCGCATTTTATCTGCTAAATCTGGCCACTTTTATGTGGGCATATCCCCCAGTTCTTTGTATCAATCACTAAGTGGCCACTAACCGAAACTGGGGGACTGGGTTGGCGCTGATGCTGGCTGGGGTCATGCTTGCTCCTGGAGACAGATGTGAGTGGTTTAGCTCTGTGCTACTGTGATCTCAAAGATCGGGCAGCTTTCCTGGAAAGATTTTCAGAATCTATTATCAATGCAATCATCATGAAAATATTTGATGAGAACACTGCCTCACACTGTATAATAAATTTAAGTAGAAAAGTCAAAGCAGTGGTATTTTGTCATCAGGGCTTTGGATGTCAGAAGAAAATAGTTCCACACTCAGCGAATATAGATAGGTCTGTTTTGGGCTGTGTTAAATCCAATTGTGTGGAGGTTCTGAATAATCAGGAGTGACAGCATAAGCACTTTCTCTTCAAAGTGATTTTACAGAAGGCATTATTTCCTAAGGAAAGTACACATATAGCCCTCATAATGCTGAAAGAGCACTAATGTATCAATTTATTGGTGCTGGTGTCATGAGCTGGAGTTGCAAACTGTATTCAGATTTTAAACTTTACTCACAGTTGCTGTTGGGGGAAGCTCCCTTCCCATGATAAAGCTTATTTCAAAAAAAATTCTAGAACATTTTTTGTAGTTCCCGTGTGAGAGAGCCTTCAAGGCTCTTTGCAAAAGGTTCTAACTTCACTTTGAGAAGCCAACTCAAACTTGATGAAAAACAATAGTTAGTTTTCCTCAATAAAAAGGGGGGGGGGAGAGAATTTGAGTTGGGCTATGTAATTTCAGCTTCCCTAAATAAGCCCTTTGGAAAGTTGTGGGGGGGAGCAAGCGTGTGATTTTGGTCTTGGCGCACAACTTTGGAATTAACTTTTCCTTTTTTTTTTTTATGTCTACCGTGGATTTTCATAACGGATTTCTTCCCTGTACGATTTGTTCCATAGCTAAGTAATGGGTCTGACATGGGTGCCAAATTTTTCAACAACCTTTACTTTCCAGAGGAGGGTTAAATAGTCCTCTTAATAACTTGAAAGAAAAAAATTTCAAGGTTTACCACAGTTCTTAGTCACAGTCTAAATGTTTTCAAGAGTTGTATTACTTTGAGCCTATTTAGTCTCAAGAATATCACCCAAGAAGAACAGAGCATAAAGAGTTCAAAATGGAGTCCTTCTGAAACAGAGATAACACTGTTAACAGTGGAGTGTGCGTTCGTGTTATCCTTCTGTGGTCTTAATGTGCCGAATCTTGCTTAGTCCCATTCGTCTGTCACCTGCTCTCCATAAATCATCTTGGAAGCAGCAAGGGTGCTGACGCATGAATCCCTCATGTTTTCGTACAGCGTGTGTTCATTTTGGTACCATTCGCAGAGAAGTAACAGCCATACCCCTTCTGACTTTAATGAGTATGGACAGATAGGTACATTTTGTGGATGTTCTCTCCTTCACCATAAAAAGTTATGCCTCATGTGAGCAGGCAGAGTCATTTTCCATAAAAAAGTTAACCCGGAATCAACGGCCATAGCAAATTAATTGCTCTGTTGCTCAACTCACTCTTGTCTGAGTAGGTTGGAATCACTCTGTTGTGTTTTAAATCTTCCCCGCTCTGCCGCTGCTTTTCACCACATAACCTCTTAAACCTGTAGGCGGTGTTTGCCATCGCTGTCGCTCACGGTTCTGTTGTTCTGGCGTAGGTCCAGTGGCCCCGCCGGGTACGACTGAGGCTAACCTGGCCACTGCATTGCCATCTGAGCAGATGCATTCCTGAGTACACTGTGAATGACATGCATTCCAAGAAGCACACACAGGACACTTTCTAACCTTTGTCTTTATTTCTTCTCTTCTAGGTATCTCAGTAACGAAGAAGACACATACATGTAAGTAATGCATTTTTTTTTTATCCAAAGTTTTCTGAAGATTTGGAATTCGCATATGTCTGGCTGCTGTGACCCTTCAAGTATAAACTAATGTTTCAGCTGTGATCCATGGTCAACAGAGGTCATACTTCTCTACCTGTAGTGGTTGGAAGTGGTACATCTCCACCTGTTTGTACTGAGTGTGTGTTAAAGAGAGTCTAGACGTAGTCTGATGAATTCTAGTGATTCAAGTCATTAGTCTTTAGAAAAAAAATCATAAAATCTAGTCAGGAGGATCAATTAATTACTTACTGATCACCCCTATTCTAGATCCTTCTTAGAAGAGCTGGTATGTTTCTAGGAAACATCACCTTGATTTCTTTTAAACTTTGGTCTCCTTTTCCTCACCACTAGTTCACGATTTAGGCCGTTTTGTACTTGTGTCTGTGGCGCAGAGATACTGACTGGGAATCTAGGTGCTGTCGCTCGACCATGAGTGTGGCCTACGAGGGCCCTGGTAAATGGCATCGGTAGTTTGATGTGGAAATGTGCGCTGGATTTACCTCTGTATTCATTCCCACTTCTCAGGTTCAACTGCTTTCATCAGTTGCCTTCATTCGAACTACACCATAAGTTTACAGACTCACGTCAACGTAAAGTGTTGTGATTTTGCAATCTGAGCAATAATGTTTGACTGTGCTTTGAACCTCAGGATGAAACTAATCCGTCATTGATGCAGGCAGTCAACTTTCACTGTACTTGACCAGCATATTTAGACTTTGAATTAATAGTGTCATTAGAATTCGATAACTATTTTAGACCACAGATATGTGCTACCCATGAGATGTGTTTGGGCATCCTTCTAAGGCAAGCAGTGAAGATATTTATGGCACAATTTAGGGCCGACAAAGATGTGTCCCCAAATTTTTCCTAATTATGCTTTTAAAATTTTTGGTTTCATGTGAAACATTTGGGGGAAAAAAATCTGTGTAACATCAAAGTAGTTTATCTTGTGCCTCAGTTGATTCTTGAAATCTGCTCTTGGGCTTGTCTGTCTGTCTATCTGTATTTGTAGCAAACAAAAAAGCAAAAAAAAAAAACGAACAAAACCAACCAACAAACAAACAAACAAAACCCACCCCACCAAATTCGATGGTGGCCTTTTAGGGCCCAGTCCTGCAGTTTCTCCACCTGGCTCTCCCATGGGCTTCAATGGAATGTTTGTTTGAGGAAAGAAGTAAAGGTCAGCCCGTAACGGACACATGATCAGGACAGCACCTCCGTCTCTGGATGCACGGTTCCCGCTGGCTGTCCCCCCATCACGGTAGTCTGTGGCCCTTAGCTTTTTGGGGGTTGTTCTGTCGTCGTTGTTGTTGTTGTTCTTGCTGTTGTCGGTGCATAATTGAGCTCATGATGACTGAGAGATTGACAGTGCAGGAGACTGAAGTCCTCTGTATATCCGCAGGGCAGGCATGGTACAGAGCGCTTCCTTGCACAGCCTTGCCCATGAGCTCGTCCCTGGCCTGGAGGGACCCACTCTAGAGGTGGTAAGTAATTCAGTCTTTCTGCTAGCTCAGTCCTGGGCCTCTCCCGAACAGGAGCGGATGATTGTGCCTACTGTTTATGGTGGTTTGGGGTATGGAGTCCTGGCCACCTGGCAATACACAGAAAGCCACTGACTATTTGCATTATGACTTGGCTCTTGGATGAGTGGATAAAACCACTAGTTCAACTCCATTGGATACAAAGAGTACCCCTCAACTAATAAGACAGAGACCAGAGATGTTAGTAAATATATAGACCATCCGTCCGTGAGGACCTTCAAGGAATTGTCATCCCTGAGAATAATTTCATTGGCCTATTGCAGAAATAATAACTCGTGGTCAGATTTAAATGCATAGAAGGATTTGGATGACAGCACGGGAGCGGTAGCTAGTGAAGAAAAGCTGGTGTTCCGGTAAGAGGCAATATAACCAGGTTGGCCTTGCAGCAAAGGCTTAACTAACCCCATCAGATATACCCGCTTTAAAACGAAATCAAGATACAGCCAGAGTGGGTAGATTTTGATTGCCTTTCTAACTATGGAAATCAGCAGGAAAATTCTTAGACGTTAAGCATCAAGTAAATGTAGACAGACTTTAAATAAAGCTCGCTTTATGTAATTCAAATATCAAACTGACAAAAAGAGATCAGAAATCACCTGGGGTTTTTTTGTTGATGTTTACTTTCATGATTTAGGGGAGAGGGTCCCTGATAAAACAGACCAATGACAAGTTGGGAAGAATAGCAACCGAACGGAGAGTTGACACAAAACTTTGCACATGCCATGGAGAAATTGAATTGTCCAAGTTGCGTGTTAGTGAAAGTCTTCTACTCCACTTAAATGTGGAGATTGTTTTTGTCACCCCACTCAGCAGACAACCCATCATATTTCTGATCTTAGCATCTCTACAGGGCCTACAACTTGTGAGGAGGAAGAAAATCAGTCAGTTCTTTCTCCCATTAACAGTCACCCAAATGACTTCTTCTTTAGCATCTGGGTCAGATTTTTCTTTGAAACCAAACTGTCCTACCTTGCCTGTAAGTTTTCTTAAGAGGTTAAATTCCAGCTCCTCTTAAAGCATCTTAACATCTGTTCTTCAAAAAGGTTCACTATCAGTGAAGTGTGTGAATTCATTTTTGTACCGTCTCAAGACTTCCATTTTTAGCCAGAGTTCTGGAAACCTTGGTCAAGGCTTGACTACATAATCATCGACAGCTGAAGTCACCCTGCATTAGCAATTTCAATCTGGGTTTCCTAACTGGCCTCACAGAGCGATGGTTCAACTTACAAATTAACATGTACAGTTGCAGAATATATTATCAGACCAGAGTATCAGCTCACAGGTACACCAGTCAGAGGTGCAAGAACCACAAAATGAACCTGAAGAGATGTGACACCTGATAATATTTTAGGCCACCTTGTTATCTAGAAAGCATGGGTATTGCTTCTTTCAAAAAAATAATAAATAATAAATAAATAAAAATGCTTTGGGTGAGCTGAGCCAGAAATTCCCAGGAAAGGAAATCTGATGAGTAGCTTCAGAGGAATTCACGAGCATGGTCTTTGGAGAAGTCAGATTCTCCTGAGTTCCTGAGAAGGGCACTGGTGGTGTTTGTCATTAACTTACCTGGCTGGTGGGGGAAGGCAAAGCTCTGAGGTTTCTAGTACAAAGTCATTGTGACCAAATTGGTCAGAGAATGCTTTCATTTGTGATATTCTTCAATTGGTGATAGGAAACGTTGCTGTTGGTTTTGGTATGTGAACAGAAAAGGAAGTTTTTACTTGTGGGATAGGGACCTATCAGATAAATTTTACACTGTGGTGTAGAATTTCAATTTAATCTTTGTGGTGATTAAACAGCCCCTGTATTTGGTTGGACACTTTAAAGATTTGTGTTTCACCAGTTTGTTCTGGTGTCTTTCCTGCTGAAATGGTACCATGTTGGATAAGTATCTTTTTCATGGCATCAATGGCTGATTTGGTTTTTATTATTTGCCAAGGACAACTGATCATTTGCCCCTGACTTTTTAATCTCATTCTACTTGGATAGTTCTGCATACACTAAAATGTTAGAATGTGACAGATTTGGAGGTGAAAAAGTAACAAATGCAACAGATCCTCTTAGCTCTTTCCAGCTACTGGGAAGTTTAGCATCATGGATTCATAACCTTAGGGTATATATCAGCCAACCACCGCAGTGTAGACCCAAAAGTTACCAGGTAGGCTCCTGGATAGTTTCCAGGGGCAACAGATCCTTGTCACGTCCTCCTGTTCTCATCCATGTTTCTATTCTTTATTCTTCCTGTGTAAGTCTGTTCTGCTTGCTTTCTTCTACACTCAGGAAGAGGCACTTACACACACCTGAAAATTGCAGGGAACTCAGTAAAGCGCCAGGAAAATGTATCAGTTTAATCCGATTTAATGTCAGCTTTCCCCAGTAAATAACAAAGTAAAATATGCTTCTGAGTCTTCTGAAATATTTTAATTTTAACATGAATAGCCATTAAAGGCAATTTAGTACATTTTCAAATGTTTGTTTGCAGTGGGCTAATACCTAACATATAAAATTAAAGCACTATATTATTTGTAAAGAGAGTTTAGTTCTCAATAGTAAAAATATTTTAGTACCAATCAGAATATTTCCTTGAGAAATAATCCTTTGTATCTGTAAAAAGAAAAAGTGTTTATTGCAGTCATTTAAAGTGGAATAGGTTAATGTATTCACTTTTCACCCCTAGAGACTTGGTTTTGAATTTGACTTAGAGAAAATTAGTTTTGAGGCCTCAACCTCCTCTCCTTAGGCATTTGTTGATATCACAAAACCAACCCAACAATTTGTCACGATTGTTGCCATTTACTCAGGAGGTCCAAGAACTAAAATAACCCTATTTTCTCGCTTTCTTTTCTTGTCCTTGAGGCCATTCCTTTTGATTGTAGACTCTTAACACAACACCAAACTTGGGGCTCACCCACACTATTTTCACAGTCCAGGAAAACTCAGGAACCATTCTTGGCAAAGCTAATGGAAGGTGCTTTGGTTATATAGTTAATAGGTTGCCGTGACAACCCATGTGATTCATGGTGTGACTCACAGCAAGTATAATTTCAATTGCTGCTGGCAGGGTGTATCATTAAGACGGGCCTGAGAAGAAGCCACACTGAACTTCTCTTAGTAGGCTTTCATCCAGATTCCATCTACCCATTGAGAAACAGAAAAGGGGATAACCCAGTGCTCACAAAGTAGCCAAAGGATTCATTTCTTACTCAGGCTTCCTGAGGCTACTGGCCATCCCAGACATAAAGCTTGCTGCTGATGGTACATGACCAAAAATAGATGCTGGCCTCTTAGAGGGCTAACTGATGGACAACTGTTTACTGAGGACCTACTATGTGCCGACAGGTTCTTTGCTCTCAAGGACCATATAGACTCGGTTGAAGGTGGGGCCCCGGGTGGGGGCCGGGTGAATGGGGTGATTAT